AGACTTTGGGCATCCCTTAACTATTGTAAGTGACAAAGATACCAGGTTCACAAGTGAACAATGGCAGCAACTGATGAATGTATATGGCTCTAAGTTGACTATGTCGTCAGGTAGACATCCTGAGACTAATGGCCAGACTGAGCAGATGAACAAGATTTTGCAGCAAACTTTGCGCATGTACATCCGTCCCGATCAGATTGACTGGGATGAACATCTGCCTAAAGTTGCTAGTGCCTATAATAACTCCGTACACCTATCTACATGTAAGACTCCTATGGAGTTACACTTGGGATGGCGTCCACGCAGACCCATTGATCGATTGAACCCGGATCAAGTACATAAGCTTCCTATAGGGACTAGTGAATTTGCTGTCCAGTATCAGAAGGACATTGAGAAAGTGAAGGAAAACATACTCAAAGCACAGCATCAGATGATTGAACAGGCAAATAAACACAAACGACCATCTCAATTTGCTGTAGGAGATTTGGTTTGGGTGAAGTCTAAAGAGTTTGCTCCTGAAGAAAACATCTCTCAAGAGCTTCTACCCACCTACAGGGGACCTTGGCAAGTTTTAGATGTAATTGGAGATGTGGATGGTCCTTCGTATGTCATTGAGATTCCTCCACATCTACGTACGTATCCAGTGTTCCATGCATCCAAACTCTTACCTTGTGTAACAAATGAGCTCTTCCCAAGTCGCCGATCAGCGATACCTCCAAGTATGGATGGGAAGTATGACGTGGATAAAATTGTTGCAGAAAGTACTTACCACACTGGACGTAGGGGCAGACCACAGCGACAGTATAAGGTGAGATTTGCCTACCAGGATCCTAGTGAAGATCGCTGGTTTACAAGAGAAGAACTGTTAGATTCTGCACCTCATATTGTGTCTGCATACGAAAGTGCAAAGAGAGGAATTGATATCCTTGATAGGTAAATGATTCTCACAGGACTTCGAAATTAGGCCGGCGAGAGTAAAAGGGCCTTTACCCGATGCAGGCCTCAGGCCCTCTAAAAGTAAAGCAGCGTGAAAAGGTATCTCGCCAGGGCTCAGAAACGTGAAAGCAGGTCAAAGGTTAAGTTCTCTATCAACGGGCACATCCAAATCTAAAGCAAAGGGTATTGCCAAAGGACTTACCTGTTCGCCAGGAGATGTGCATGTCATGTC